GCCTGACCGAAGCAGAATAGAGTGGCACTATTACTTCTCTTGATCTAGTCACAACTCATTAGAAAAGACAATAATGCTGGGAAAAGTAGAAGGTAGTAAAAAGAGGAAGACCACACACTAGATGGCTAGACCCAGTTAGGAAGGTCATGGGCATGAATCTGCAAGACTTGAACAGAGTAGTGGAGGACAGGGGGTCTTGGACATTTCTTATCCACAGGGTCTCTATCAGTCAAGGTTGACTGTAGGGCAGTTAACAACAACAACAACAACAAACCTCCAAGTTGATTTCAACTTAACGAATCCTGTCCCGTAGTTTTCTTGGAAAGATTTCATAGAGTCATAGAATCTTAGAGTTGGAAGGAAGTACAAGGACCATCCATCCCTGCCATGCAGGAATACACTACTAAAGCCCTCTTTTATTCAGATGAGGTTTGCCATTGCCTTTGAGAGAATGTGACTTGCCCAAGTTCAGCCAGTGGGTTTCCATATTTAAATATCTGAAGGGGTATCATGTGGAAAATGAAAAAAAGCTTATTTTCTGCTTATCCAGAGAGGAAGATCCAACAAATTGATTCAAATTGCAAAAAAGTAGGTTTGGACTAAACATTAGGAAGAACTTCCTGATAGAATTATAGAATCATAGAGTTGGAAGAGACCCCAAAGGCCATCCAGTCCAACCCCCTGCCATCTAGGAACTCAAAATCAAAGCATCCCTGACAGATGGACGTCCAGCCTCTGTTTAAAGACTTGCAAAGAAGGTGACTCCACCAAAATCTCTGATGGTAAGAGCTGTTTCATAACGCATATAAACAGGTTGGAGTGGGTTCAGAGAAGGGCGACAAGGATGATAGGAAGTGTGGAGAACAAATATGAGAAACAATGTACAATGAACTATGTACAAAAGAGAGAGCCTTTCCTGTGTTGTCACACACTTTCATCCTAAGAGGAAGGCAATGACAAATATCCTCTGAAGAAATCTTGTCTAGAAAATGCTAGGCTAGGGTTGCATAAGTCGGAGTTGACTTTAAAGGCACACAACAACAGTATGAAGAATTTAGTACTAACATGGTCTTTCTTGTGGTGCCATGTTAAAATCTTTCTGTGTTGTGTTTTTAGCTGGTTGAATAACTCATTCCTCTCAATTATATGGCGTGAAAAGACATTTTGTGGCCAAATTCCAGTTGTTAGTCTCAGCTAGAGAAGAGCCGTTGAATCAAAGAACTTGATAAAACAATGTTTGTGTAATTTGGGGACACATGTTGGATTTAGACCAAAGGGTTTTATGGTGACTTAACGCTGCATTGAAGATTTTAATTTTTGTGTGTTCCAGTCTGGAATTCTTTTTACAAAGAAGATGAGTTTCATTCTTGTGATCCCTCTCTTTTCTTACCTCCCTTTTGTTACCTATTCATTAGTCATACTAAATTTCTGACTTTCATAGGACCTTATCACACGGGGTCCAAAGCAGACAGAATCCAAATGA